GTGGGGGTGCTTCAAAGGCATGTTGGCAGCTAGAGAAGGTCAAATCCTAGAGAAGGTCAAACTTAGCAGCCTCCTCCTTGGCTGAAATTTTCAAACAACCTGCCCTGCCCAAGCTGTAATAGCAATCACCAGAAAGATAAAGCTATGTGAATCCGCTCTTTTCAGTGAAGCAAAACAGCTCTTAATCAAAAACATCTTTCAGAGGACTCCTTCTTCTTGCATAATAGGCAATTATTGGGATAGAATAGCAGTTCTAATTGTTTCTTTATTGCCTTATTGAATGATAGAATAGCTGTTTTGATTGTTTATTGCCTTATTGAATAATAATTGCTAATTGTATGTTTTTATCATTGCAATTATGTTATTGTTGTATTTTAAGTGTTTTTGACCATTGGAATGCGCTCTAGTATAGAGTAGTTCTAATTGTTTCTTTATTGCCTTATTGAATGATAGAATAGCTGTTTTGATTGTTTATTGCCTTATTGAATAATAATTGCTAATTGTATGTTTTTATCATTGCAATTATGTTATTGTAAAATAAATATGATGATGATGATGATGATGATGATGATGATGACGACGACGACGACGACGACGACGACGACGACGACGACGACGATGACGGTGATGGTTGTTGTTGTTGTTGCTGTTGCTGTTGCTGTTATTGTTGTTGTTGTTGTTGTTGTTGTTGTTGTTGTTGTTGATGATGATGATGATGTTGCTGTTGCTGTTGATGTTGTTGTTGATGTTGATATTGATGTTGATGTTGTTGCTGTTGTTGTATTAGTAGCATTAGCATTAATAAGCCCCAATGACTGTGGGGACCACTGAAGTGTGTTTCTTCCAGAGGCGAGATGTTTCGATTGCCAGGTCTCTGTACTTTGTTAGTTTTTCCAATTCTTTATTTTCAACTCTAACTAAGGCTGACCACCGAAGAATTGATGCTTTTGAATTGTGGTGCTGGAGGAGACTCTTGAGAGTCCCCTGGACTGCAAGGAGATCAAACCTATCCATTCTAAAGGAAATGAACCCTGAGTGCTCACTGGAAGGACAGATCCTGAAGCTGAAGCTTCAGTACTCTGGCCATCTCATGAGAAGAGAAGACTCCCTGGAAAAGACCCTGATGTTGTGAAAGTGTGAAAGCAAGAGGAGAAGGGGATGGCAGAGGACGAGATGGTTGGACAGTGTCATCGAAGCTACCAACAAGAATTTGACCAAACTCTGGGAGGCAGTGGAAGACAGGAGGGCCTTGTGTGTTCTGGTCCATGGGCCATGAAGAGTCGGACACGACTTAATGATTAAACAACAACAAATTTTCAACTCTGGAATCCCTTGGAATTGCAATGTCAATGATCCAGACATTTCTTCCTTCTATTACTACTATGTCTGGTGTGTTATGTTCAAGGTGTCTATCAGTTTGAATCCAGAAATTCCACAAGATCTTGACTTCCTCATTTTCTATCACCTTCTCTTTCTGATGTTCCCATGAGTTTTTGGAGGCTGGCAAGTTATATATTTTGCATAATGACCAGTGCACTAACTTTGCCACTCTATCATGTCTAACTTTGTAATCCGTTTATGCAATCTTTGGACATTCACAGATGGTGTGTAACACAGTTTTATCTTTTTCTTGGCAGAGCCAACATTTGCTGTTAGCACTAGTTCCTTGGATCTTAGCTTTCATCACATTGGTTTGGAGTGCTTGTTCTTTTGCAGGAAAAGCCAAGCCTTCAGTTTCATTCTTAAGAGTCCCCAGTTTTAGCTATGCCCCTATTGAATTATGATCATGCTTTCCATCAATATTTCTCAGGTGTTGTCCATGTAGTGGCTTGTTTTTCCAACTGTTTAATTTATTTTAAAATTGTTGTTTCTTATATTGAGCCTTTGTTTCCCTTGTTTTCAAAATATTCTCCATTTTCACTGCCTTGAATAATTTTTCTCTGCTTGTACTGATATAATCATTTAGGTTTCTTTTTTCCTCCTCTATTACCTGCTATATATGCAGTAATCCATGGGATCTGATTTTTTTGTGGTAAATATCATATGTCCACATCACTTTGGGGATATAGTGTGTGATGCTTATTCATTAGTTTCTGTGTTTTTCGATCCAATTCTTCTAATTCATTTTGAGTCCAGTCTATTATTCCAGCTGGGTATCTAATTACTGAAACAGCCCATGTGTTTATGTTTTTGATTGTATTTCCCCCATTTAATTTTGATTTTAGGGTTTTCCACAGTTTAATATAGTCCCTTTCTGTCAATTATTTTACATTTTATATGATCCAATACTTGAATGACTTCAGACTGTGTCTTATTTTCCCTTGGCAGTAAATCTTTAGAAATAAATATATAATCTATTCTTGAATATGTATTATGCACCTGTGAGTAGAAGGAGAACTTTCTTTCTTCACCCTTTAATTCTCTCCAAATCTGTTTTCTCAATTAGTCTATTTAATATTGTACACTTAATTTTCCCTTCCTAAATTTGCAATTTTGATTTATCCTTCTTCATATCCATTATCATATTAAAATCTCCTGCTATTATCATGTAACCTTTCCTCAATTTATCCAGCCTTCTTAATATGTTTTCAAAAAATTCTTCCTGCCTCTCATTGGGTGCATAAACATTTACAAGTGTAAAACCTTCTTTTATTTTACCTTGCAAAATAAAATATCTGCCTCGAGTGTCCTTTCCCATTTTTTCAATTTTAAATTCACAAATTTTTGATATTGATATTACTACTCCCCGAGATTTTGGAGTCCCATACAATTTTTTATAAATTTGAGTCCATTTACCTTAAAACCCTCCTTTTTTGATGAGTTTCTTGCAAAAATACTATATCCATGTTACTTCAATTCCAAACATTTTGGATCCTAGCTCTTTTTATGTTAAAACCTAGGCCTTCCACATTCCATGTAAACACTTTAAGTGTTTAACCAGTTCTCTTTTCTTTTTTAAAAAAATATTAGTCCTGATTTGGGATTACAAACCGTAGTGCTTCTCAATTTTTTTTTTTTAAAAAAAATCACCATTGAATTCCTATTGAATTCATCTACCACCCCCTTAACCACTACTACTTTTCTTCCTCCCATCTTCTTACAGATTCTTCTGGTCTCTTCTACTGACTCTGGGAGGGGGTGTCTGTTCCTACCAGCCGCTACTCTCTCCCTATCTCACTCTATTATATTATATGAAGCCCTTTTTACCACAAGCATAGCTAAAACTACTTTTATTCATGTATCTGATAAACAGCACTATTATACAAAATTTATTCTAAATGTTTAAATATTCAAATATAAATTTCTTTGTACCAAGTATGTAAGTATATACATTTCTCCTTTTTTTTAAACTTCAATGATAATCTTATTTAATCATCTACTACCAGTCTCCCCTTTTGTAATGCTTTTATATCATTTTCTTCCTGAATTTCCCCCCTGTTTTTATATTTCTCCTATAAACTTATAATTAACCATATAATTAACTATAAGGTTTCCCCTATGAAACAAACTTTTCCTAGGGGAGAGGTATGCGACGGAATGCCCACGTCACTCCTGTCACTCATAGGAACCTCATTTGCATGAGCCTATGAGAGGACTGGGGGGACGGGATCAGTTAGACAGTTAGGCAGTTGGAAGCAGTTAGAGTTGGAGTTAGGAAGAGAGAAGGTGAAAGAGAGAAGGAGAGTGTGAAGGAGAGAAATTGAATAGTCAAGATAGATAGTCAGAATACTGATATTATTATTAAGTTGGTTAAAGTGAATAAATCAATAAAACAAATGAAGAATTGAACGTGTAACCAAATATAAGAAGTTTTAATGAGTGATTCTATACAATGATTAAAAAGAACATCTGTGATTCAAATTCAATCTAAATAAGTTATGTTGGCAGCAAGTGTCCGATTCAAATATTGGGCAAGTGTGGATAAGGGATATCCACTGGTGGCAGTGAAATTAATTAATTAATTAATTAATTTTATCCCACTCCTGTTAGTGTCACAGCACTACTCAGGGCGGGTAACAGCTCGTAAAACAGAAAACAGAAATTAAAACGTTAAAAATCAATTGCACTCAATGCCAGGCAGCTCTTTTGGAAGATCCCTTCATTTAAGACTAAAGGGATGGGGCTGAGGATACAGGAGAATTACAGCTGGCCATCACCTTTCGAGGGTCCTGCAAGCCAAGTGAACACCCTTAAAAATCCATGCCCTCCTCTGCTGCCCGCTGCCAAAAATGCTTTCTGAGAAGAGCATAGTAGAGAACAACATTCTTATGCTCCAGAGACTGCAGGTGGGGAGAGAGAGCGCCATGGCTGTGCAGGGGGTGATGAGGGGTGGAATCCAGGGGGAAACCCAGGAGTCCATCAAGCACCAAGAGGAGAATAACCTTTCTCAAGAACTCAGAGTTCTTGACTCCTCCTCTTCCTCCTAATTCTCCTATGTTATCCTCGAGGAGCCACCAGCACTGGGATTGTGGCCTTTTCTGTGTTCTATTTAAGGTTGCCCATAGTGCTCTGTCATCTGAACTTTCAGGTATGGAAGGACCACTCCCTTGGCTTTCACATGAAGGAAGAAGAAGCGATGCTTACCTGCAGTTTCCCGTATCAGCAGTGGGTTGGACTAGATCAGTGGTTCTCAAACTTGGGTCCCCAGATGTTCTTGGACTGCAGCTCACAGAAATCCTGGCCAGCACAGCAAGTGGTGCCAAACCAGGGTCCCCAGTTTGAGAACCACTAGACTAGATGGCAAGGTCCTTTCAACTTCCCAGTCCTGCCATGCTATCATTCTGTGGCACTTGATGGTGCTAGACATTGGGAATCCATCCTTCTCTTCAATGTATGAACCACAAGATGTTCTCATTGAAGGAGGGCAGGGGGTGTCATTCTGAAGTGTAACTGAATTCGGGATGATAAATCCATCTCTTGGAAATGCAGAAATCTCTGTTTCCATGTTGGCATACTTTAACGCTCAACCATCCTATCGTCCTTTCTGTCTCTTTAGTGCATTGCGCAGTGAAAGGCAACATTCAGTGCTCAGCCATGTTTGGCAAATGCAGGGTATCGTATCCATGCCCGGCGGGTGAAACAAAAATTGGAGAATGCAATAACGACGACCATTGTTGTATAAAGGGTAAGGCAGGACATGAGATGAGCTAAATTTCCTTAAGTTAAGAAAAGAGGGATTTTTGGTGTTTGGGAAAAATGGAGAGTCCATGAGATGTATCGCTCATGAGCAGAATTAGTTTGGACTGGATGAGGGTCATGGCTTGGGTGCAACATGTTGCAACAAAAGGAGGGGTTACCTCCCTGCAGCTGCAATGTAGACAGTAATGGGTTTCTAACAAGAACCAGGTGGCCAAGAGTAGCAGACATTTTTATTTCGTACAATACCACTGCAAAGCATCATGGGAAATTTAAATGGTGGATGACTCCTAGTATGTCTGATACTGGGATGACTCCCAGTATCAGGAGTAGGCCATTAGCCTACTCGTGATACTGGGAGCTGGCCCTGAACTAGATTTTCAACTTGGTTTTGGAAATGATTGCTTTTCTGTGTAAAATTGGTTGTGTGGGGCAAAGATAACCTAGGATATGACAACTCCATTATAGTAGCAGGGTAGAGGATGAATAAAGACAGCACAGGCACTAAAAAGTCAGAAATGGCAATTACAGTAGGACCCTCCATATCCACTGTGGATTTGTTCCAAGAACCGCCACATGGATACTGAAAACTGTGGATAATAGAAAACACTACATATACGTATACAGAGAGAGAGAGAGAGAGAGAGAGAGAGAGAGAGAGAGAGCATGGTAAAAAGAAAAAAATTCACATGAATTACCAGAACTGGTGACTAGAGGGCGGCAGAGACCGTGCTATGTATTTTTTATTAGCAAGTATTCCTAGCACAGTCTCTGGTTCCCTCTAGTGGCCAGTTCTGGTAATATATGTGAAAATTGTTTTCTCATTTTTTTTCTTTTTATATTTTTAATATGTTCTAGTGGCCAGTTCTGGTAATATATGTGAAATTTGTTTTCTGAATTTTTTTTCTTTTAATATTTTTAATATTTTCAAACTGTGGATAAGTGAAACTGTGGATACTGATGTTGTAGATGTGCGGGTCCTACTGTACTTAGGTTTTAATCCATCTAATAGCTAGTGTGGCCATCCTGACAGTGAACTTCTAGAAACCATAGCCCGAACAACATGTTTTTTTTTTTCATCTCTGAAAAGGCTGTGTGGCTCCTGAGGCAAAAAAAATCTACACAGGATAGATTGATCCTGGCTAAGCACACAAATGCTTTACATGCAAAAGGAAATTGAGCCAGAATATTACAGGGTTCAGTGATTGGCCCTATAAAAGCATGAACACTGTACTTCCTACCCTTGAATGGCATTAAAATGGGTGGGACAGGTTCCTTGCATTATAAAGTACAGTGGCCATAACCCTATTGTCGTTTTGTACAGATGGAACGCAAATGGTGTAACTTTTAGTGATGCATTGATACAAGTTAAGAAGTCAGTGTAAATGTTGGCAGTTATGTACCAAGTTGTATGGCTCAATGTACAACTGATGAGGGTCAAATCCACAAGTCGGGTTGATGCTGTTGGCAACAGCAGATTGTGACTGATTAAAGGTTTCCTTTAGTGTACAAACCATATGTACCCCCAAATTGCAAAATGGAAGCCTTTAATCCTGGCTAGGCACACAAGAGTTTTACAGCGATGATCTGCTATTGCCAGTGACATCCTTCTTGTTGCACAGGCGGTACTGAGCATCAGGGCTTCAGCCACAATCGACACTGACTTCTGAACTGCCATCAGTGTGCCATCAATAGAACACTGTTTGCATAGTGCCCAAAGTCGTAAAACTAATAGGATACGGCTCAGAACACAGTAGCAAGAAATCCATGGACTTTCATTTACAGGCACACATCGTCTACCTATATCTCTCAGCAGAACACAGTAGCAAGAAATCCATGGACTGTGAAGTTACAGTGTTCTTTTATCCTAATGAATGAACAGCCACTTACAAGGGAAGGAAGGACACCCAGGTTGGTGGCTTTCATTTACAGGTACACATCGTCTACCTATATCTCTCAATCAGGCACTCCTTGAAAGGGGTTTCTTGTGCATCCAAACCAGCATGAACTTCCGAACCATTGTTCGTGCCCATTACTACTTGCCATGATGAATCATCTTAAGGATATGGACATTCTTCTTCCAGCAGAGAATCAAGTACTTTTGATCTACATTGTCCAGATTGCCCCTTGTACCTGCCAGAGTTACTGATACTTGTTAGAGGGGGACTAACGAGTAGGGTGGAAGCCTATTGATCCACCATGAGAGATTATTTTTCAAATGTCCGAATGTTCGGAAACTGCTTTGTAATCTCATTGCAAGGAATGGAAAAAAGGGACAAAACCAGTATCAGTTGGTTCTGCCAACTCTGAATGTTGGTTTGACCTTCCTTTGGCAACTGTGCCCTTCCCGTCTGGGTGGACTCTATTCATATAATCATAGAATAATTGAGTTGGAAGGAGCTAATCAGACCATCAACTCCAACTTCCCGCTCAATGCAGGAATCCAAGTCAAAGCAGATCTGATAGATGGCTGTTTCATTTGCTCTTGAACTCCTCCAGAGTTGGAGCACTCACCTTCTTCTGAGGTAATTGATTCTATTGCTCTACTGCTCTAACAGTTGAGAGGTTTTCGCTGATGTTCAGCTTAAATCTGACTTCCTGTAACTTGAACCCGTTATTACATGTCCTGCACTCTAGGATGACTGAGAACAGATCCTGCTGCTCCTCTGCAGGACAGCTTTTCAAATAGTTGAAAAGTGCTGTCACATCACCCTTCAATCTTCTGTTCTCAATGTTAAATATGTCCAGTTCTTTAATTGGCCTTCCTCTTTCATTCCCAATGTGGCTGCCTCTATTGTGTCATTGGGCATTCAATTTTTAGGGTAACTTACAGTTTTCTTGTTGCTTGTTTCTTCCTCCTGTCTCTCTCCCTCTCCCCCCCTCTCTGTTTGCAGTGACAACTTCTTTTATATATTTTCTTTCAGCTGTTATTATATCTGGAATTAAGGACTGGTAGCCTGCTTTGTGGATGTTCAAGAGGAGAAATTCCTTCATACTGCATATCAAGAAGACATTGTAAAGTGACCAATTTCAGACTTCTATAATAAATTTGTTTTCTTTTGAAATTGTATTACTGGACTATACAAGAGTGTGTCTGTGTCTGTGTGAGTATAGGCACCCATGATACTTTACTTTATAACATAATAATAAATGTTTTATTACAGTCATTGACCAGCAAAAGTAAGCAATATTATTTAAATTAGGAAACATAAAATCAATCTGAAAGTATTAAAAACATCTACTGTACATGTATATAAAACTACATTCATACATCTTATTAGATATCTCCTGCCTCCTATCATAGGCCTTGTCTATGGGCTATTGTAGCTTGCATAGAATGACAGAATTGTTACTTAGAAGTTCACAGAGCCCGTAAGATCATTAAGGCCTCTACGTGTATACACCAATTTACAGATACAGTGGTGCCTCGCTTGACGATGTTAATTCGTTCCAGCGAAATCGCTGTAGAGCGAAAACATCGTCAAATGAAATTTTTAAAAACCATTGAAATGCATTAAAACCCGGTTAGTGCGTTCCAATGGGCTGAATACCTGCTCATCCAGCAAAGATCTTCCATATGGCGACCATTTTTGGTGCCTGTATAGCAAGGAATACATCCTAGAAAACAGCGGGGGGCCATTTTGAAAGCCAATGGTCATTTTGAAACCCGAAGATCAGCTGTTTGTCATACAGCAAAAAAATCGGTTCCCGAAACAGGGAACTGATCAACGTGAAGTGAAATTCCCCCATTTAAAACATCGTTTTGTGATCGCAAAAGCAACTGCAAAAACGTCGACGTAATGCGTATTCGTAGTAGAGTGGGGTAATCGTCCAGCGGGGCACGACTGTACTATAGCTGTGCTTTGGGTGGAACCTTTCCTTCACAGATTTTGATTGCAGCAGCACAGAATTTAGCTACTTTTGTCAACATATCTGAATTTTGGTTTAGCCCTGTCAGCAAGAGCAGTGTGTAATGCGCCTCCGATGGTCCAGGAAATGGCCATATGTAAGGATTAACAGAGACTTCTTGAATGCCAGAATAAAAAGCACAATGAAGTAACACATGAGAGATAGATTCGATCTCACCAGAGTTACAGGGGCATATACACTGAATGTAAGGAGTGTTGGTATACTTCCCTTCCTGGACTGTTGATGGAAGTGCATTGGAGTGGGCTAGAGTAAGAGGCGTGCATTGTTTCGGTGGTAAGGGTATGTAGAGATATTTATCCGGTTTGGGTGGGAGCAGTGCGTCATCAAGTATAAGCCTATTTATGATGGTACCAAGATCCTGCTGCCTTTCTGTCTCAATAATACACTGCCGAAGATTTCTCTTGGCCCTTAACTTATCCCATTTGTTGGATACATTCTACCAAATAGCTGTGTCTGTTCATTTTATTGTATATTGCTCTCTTCCAAAGTGACTGATGGTTATTCAGTGAAGTCAGCCCAGTTGGTTGAAAAGTTAGTTTTAACCAAAACTTAAAAATAGCCAGCCAATCTCTGGCTTCAACCTTCAGGTAGCCCAATTCCAGCCTAAGGCTTGCATTGGATACCTCTCTTCAAACTTGTAAGACAACCCTCACGAATTTATAACAAAATGGTTGTGATGTATTTCTGCCCCTTAACACAAGTGTGGGCAAAAAGCATTCATCCACATATTCTCTGATAGCAGCTCCTAACACTTCACACCATTGGCTGTGCTGGCTAAGGCATATGGGAGTTGAAGTCCAACAGACCTCTTCAATATTAATGTGTGATCAGTGACTTGCAAAGGCATATACCGGATCACACTTGAAAAGGCTACTTTGAAGTGACCCTCTGTGTACCAGGGAATCCCTCCCACCTGCCCCCCCCAAAGCAGAAGCCCTACAGCCGGTGCACACATTTGGGGGTCCACATGGCTTGTTGTGTGCACCCCCAAATCACAAAGGTCCAGCTTGGGCACAGATTAGGGTCATGATAGAGTTGAGATCCCCATGAATCACAGGATCACTTTACAAGTGGCCCAAATTGAAATCTATTTTTTATTTTCTCATATGATTACAAGCATAGTCTCCTCTTATGAAAATGCCATTCCCAGAAAGGTCCCCTGCTTTTGATTCATTTAAGCACCAGGCAAACCCCTTTTCATTTTCTATTTTTTGTCTGGTTTGCTATGTTGTAAGTTTATCTCTGTGGTTTTCTTCAGTGTTCTTGCTTTTGCTATTTCATCCTCATTTGTTTTAAAAAATCCTTTGTATTTGGAATGGGGGGTTCTATTCCTTGCTTGTGTATATGTTTGATGTATATGTTTGATGTATGTTTCTACTGTGCATTATCCAGGCAACTATCTGTCAGAGGGGAGGGCATGTCATTACTCACAACTCCCAAGGCTGAGTTCGCCACCTTAAGCTCCCCTGGACTCTTCCACCAAGAAAATTTGAGTCTCCTACCTCTAGGAGATTACCAAGATGATCCACTTTTTCAATATATTGCCCCCCCTCTCTGCAACATTTAAGAGCCCAAAATACTAGTTTTCCAAAACTGTAATTGGAATGGTGGCAACTTCCAGTTTCTTCTTCTGCTTCATTACCAAGATTGCATTGTGCACTGTTATTTCAAAACAAATAGCCAACATATAAAATTTGATTTAGGCATCCTTCAGTCTCGAGAGACTATGGTAACATGCTCTGTATGGAGGACTTGGAACAGTGTCTAGTGTGGCTGAGGAGGCCAATTCGAGAGTTACCATCCCTTCCACACTGAAGACAAATACAATCTGTCCCCTGTCCAGCTCCCTTATTTTGCTGCTTTCGGGACTTCCTCTTTGCCTCGGCCTGTTGGACAAGGGTCTCTTCAAACAAGTGGACAAGTGTCTTTTGAAGAGACATCTAATATAGGTACATAATATTGACTGATGATACATACTGATTCTTTGTGGACAATGCTGTGTTGGTAAACAACTCAACAGATGGCTTTGAAGCAACTCTTGCCTGCCCAACAAACAGATCGTAACACAGTCATTTCAAGCAATTATGTCTTTATTTCAAGAATCCATTTGAAGCTCTGCTTTATTCATGGACATCTGAAATGCGATGTGGAAAGAACTGATCCATTTGATTGTGATGATGTGATGAATGTTAATGAGAACAGAAGATCCAGATATTCTAGCGACTGGAAAGGAACAAGATGGTCAGAGCTGTATATGAAATATGATTTGATCATGGAGAACAAACTCTTCCAACCAAAACTAAGACTAATTTCCATCCTTAATGTTTCTTAGGCAGCATTTTCAATCCCACCGTTTGTGATAATAATATGCAAGCAGCGGGTCATCTCAACATGACTCTGAGAATCTCGTTACATTAGCCAGCCTTAAGGGCTGCCCTTTGCAAAGATGGCAGCTGCAGCTTCCCTACCCTAAATGAAGCTGCAATTGCCATTTTTGTAAAGGGCAGCCAGTCTCCCTTTTTACATGTGTGGCTGGGAGGCCAGAAGCCGACCTCAGCAGCTGCGATTAAGGTAAGGGGGTGTCGGTGGGATGGAGGAGGGCTACGGTAGGGAAAGGAAGGGGGTAGGCTGTGGTATTGGGTGGCTGTGGGGGTAGCTGCCTTTCTGCTCCTGATGAGGGTGCCGGTAGGCAGAATGGTGGTGGTAGTAGTAGTAGTAGTAGTAGTAGTAGTAGTAGTAGTAGTAGTAGTAGTAGTAGTAGTAGTTGAATACAAAGGATGAATAAAAACAGGTCAATATTTGTCCCTTCGTATTCGTGGCGGTCTCTAGAACCCACAAATATGAAGGGACGAAAATCTAATGCATCGGCTATTTTCGTCTAAAAAGCCAACCTGTTTTTATATTTGTACCCATCTCTAGTTTCATCCACCCACACCCTCCATCATTTTACTTGTTCTCCTCTTGTTAAGGGATTTATTTTCTATCATCCTTATGCATAGTATAAGTAGTGCCATTTTGTATTAGGAGATCTGCTTTGATATATTCCTGCACTGAGTAGGGGGTTGGACTTGATGGCCTTGTAGGTCCCTTCAAACCTCACCTGTCTATGATTCTATTATTTGCCTCTACCTCTCCATTTCCCTTCACCACCCCTTCGTCCCCCTCATCACTCTACAAAGTTTCTATGGGGAGTAGCACCAAGCATCTCCTCTGACTTGGTAGCTTTTGAGATCTCCTGCTTTGAGAGGCAAGCCTTTTTCATGAAAAAATCAAGAAAGATCTCACATTGGGTGGAGGATCTTCTCCCACAAATTAAGAAGCAGAGACAATCCGGACCTCTGGGGGGTGGAAATGCTAACAAATTCCACCTGCACAAATGATTTTTTAGAAGTTCGATTTACGAGCAGTAATTAAAGTAAATATTGGGATATCGATGGGATTAGCTGTGTGAGATACCTGCAAACAATGGAGGCTGGCATCTACATAGTAGAAGAAAGCAAATTTACTTTCTTTCCAAGTCTGTCCTAAGAGCAGAAGCCTTTAACAGAACGTGGACTGAACTCAAAATAATTAGGAGCTGGCCAAGAGAGCAGCTTCTCTTTCTTACCTGAAACAGCATGGACTACCTCTGCCACATTTCCCATCAGCAACTGAAGGAGGAAAGCAACGCCCCACCGAGCAGTGGCCTCCAGATATATAACACGTCATAGTGTTGTTTATGGCACTAAAAGAAGGAAATACTGTTGGTTAATACAGAATAAAATGAGAGCTGAAACTCCAGCCTTTCCCATGTAGGACCCGCAAAATCTGGGAACAATCTAGCAATCTTCGGCCAAATGCTATGACACAATGGCTGAAATCCAGGAGTGAGTCGCAACTTGAGTACCCAGCTTGCTGGGGGGGGGGCAATGTGTAGCCTATATAGTTAAACTGTAAACCGCCTGGAGAGTGCTTGTAGGGCTATGGGGCGGTATATAAGTCCCCCCCCCAAAAAAAAACTTGAGGAGGCCCATTGAATCAGTGGGGATCTGGTAAGTCAACTCCGTTGTACGTTCCATTGATTCCATGGGCCTACTATAACAGTTTCTACTGGTGGTTGTTGTGGGTTTTTCGGGTTCTTTGGGTGTGTTATGAAGGCTG